GATCAGCTGTTTTGTTTTAAAAATTGACTATTAACCAAAAAAAAAAACTATTCAGCACTGCATTAAGGCTTGCTATAAAGAAAGCTACAACTTTAGGCAATTCAAAACTAACTATACAGAAAAATAAAAAAATATCTGTCTTTAGGCATATTAAAAATAAAGTTAGAAACAAAATTTTATTCCTGTCATTTTACTAGAACATGTTTTAAAGTCTATGCTTAATGTTTTAAGTTGTATCATCTTATTGACAATGATTGTTTTAAAATATATATATTCGACTTCTAATTTTAAAAAGTTTTTTTTTATTTTATTTTTAAAAGCATTAAACACCCTACAAAGTTAGAAAATTAACCTTATTTTATAAGGTCACATGTTAAAATTACATATCTACTAAATTTCTCAACATTTTATAATCTTTATATTTAGAGTTCATTGATATTGGTAAGCCAGAAGCAGCTTTAGATGTTCTCTATGAAGTTATTAAAAGTAAAAAGCATAGAAATTGGCAAAAGATTCATGAACCTATCTTGCAAATGTATCTTAAACTATGTGTAAATTTAAAACGGTCAGTTAATGCAAAAGAAGGTTTGTATCAATACAAGTTGATATGTCAGCAAATGAACATATTGTCTCTAGAAGAGACCATCACATTCTTCCTAAATATAGCTGAAAAACATGCAGATGAAGCTAAAAATCAATCTATTGAACTTGTGACTGTTGAAGATCTTGATCAACTGCAAACACCTGAAGGGTAGCATTGTTTAACTGTCAAAAATGTTTTTTGTTAAGCAAGTTTGTTTTATTTGAAAAAAATTATTTTTTGTAGAATTTTGCTTTCATCTGTAAGTTCAGAAGATGCACAAGATAGATCAGATCGTGTTTTGTTAACACCTTGGGTAAAATTTTTGTGGGAAGCATATCGTAATGTGCTTGAACTATTGCGTAATAATAATCGTGTTGAAAAACTCTATCATGAAACAGCACAAAATGGTATATGTTTTGTAAGGATAAATAGATTGTATTCAAGCGAACTGTTATTATTAGATATTTTTCTTGGTTTTAGATTGTAGATGAATTCAAATTTTTGAAATTTTAATATTTTTTAATTTTAGCATTTAAGTTTTGTTTAAAATATATGCGTCGTGCTGAGTTCCGAAAGTTATGCTTGTTAATAAAGAATCATTTGGATCAAGTACTGAAGTATCAAGGACAACCAACTGCAATTAATCTAAACAGCCCAGAAAGCTTACAAATGCATCTGGAAACCAGGCTGGTGCAGTTGGAGAATGCTATTACAATGGAGTTGTGGCAGGTAAATATTTTACAAGTTAACTCGATTTATAATTATTTTTAAATAATAATTAAAACAGATTTTTGTTTAATTTTTTTTTGTGTAAACAATTAAGTAAAGAGTTCTAGAAAGAGCACAGCAAATTAAAAAATACTTTTCAGAAAAACGCTATGAAAAATGAGAATTTTGTTTTTAAAAAATGTGAAGAAATTGTTATTTAAAATGGTGCTGTCAAAAAAAAAAATCAAGTTATCTAGAAATTAAGTATAAAATAAAAAAATATAAATAATGAAAATCATGTTAAAATTTAATTTGCAACAGCTATTAAATCAAAAAAATAAATTAAAAAATGAAGTGATTAAAATTGAGTTTTAATTTTTTAAACTTTAAAATAAAAAAAAAGTTTTTGATTTTGAAAAAATTTGTATTTAAGCACCAGTACACATGAAGTTGTGCCAAATAAAACCATTAGTAAGGATTTTTCCTAAAGATAATGATTGTTTTAAATATATGTGTAAAAATTATCTTTATTTATCAGAAGCTCGACTGAAAAAAAGGATTTTCATTGAGTCTGATATTTGTAAAATGATTTTTAGTCCCAGCTGAATTCAGCTTTGATTTAATGAGTACAAAGGAAAAAAAAGGATTGGGTATAATAAAAAGATCTTATAATTTAGTCTAACTTTAAACTTATAAACCACTATAATAAGTTAAAATTTCTTTGAGCCTTTAACTCTAGTTCTCACAATATTTACATTATTAAAAACTTTAAAACAATATTTTATAAGTTATTAAACCTAATATTTTACAATAATAAAATATAAATATATAAAACATAATATAAATTATAAAACACGATATTTTTCAATAAATTATTAAATTTAACAAGTTTTAATTTCGAACTGTAATTTCAAACTAAGTTTTATGAATAAAATATGAAATTAGTCAACAAATGTTCATCCCTCAGCATTAAGGTTGGCATTTGGCAATGCTGAACTAACTGCCAATCTAAAAGTGTCTAAGGTGGACATTTTTTTGCCAACCTCTTTATTAGCAAGACCTTTGTGTTGAAATTTTTGTGTCAACCTGATGCCATCAAAAAATAGTTTAAGGTCTGCAATTTATTGCCAACCTTATTTTTTTTTAATGTTTAGGGCTGAATGTTTTAGTAAAATAATTTGTTAATAAGTTTTGATCTTACATAAGTTCAACTTAGATCAAATTGAAAAATGTCTTTTTCCAGAAGAATTTTTTTTCTGTGACTAAAATTTATGCTTTGCCAAAATCTACAAAAAAAAAACCAAATACAATTACAAACCAAAAAATGGTACCTAGTTGCCTAACTGGTCGTCTTTTGTTAGCTATGGTAAAAACTTATTTAGAGCTTGTTTAATAACTGTCACGAAATCAGAAAGTCTGTATTACCTTTTGTTTTTAAAAATTTTTTTTAGCCTAAGGCTAAATTAAAAAAATTTTTTTTTAGCCTAAGGCTAAAAAAAATTTTTAAAAACAAAAGTTAAAACTTTATATATTATTGGTTTCAATATTTACGCAAACTTTAACATGTCTACTTCCTTAGTTGTTACATTATTTGTTTCTTTGTTGATATTTTATAAGTTTGTCATTATTTTAAGGGTTTTTTAAAATTTGTAGACATATCTATATTACTGTAAAGTTAGAACAAAAAAAATGTTATTAAAAACCTTCAATAACTTTGAACCTTAACATAAATTTTCACTTTATCCATTAATGCATGGTAAGATGATATCTTAACATGATTTTGTTAATTTAAGGTGCATCTAAAAAAAAAACCTAAATTTTGCACAAGGCATAATTAAAACTATGGATATCACTTCCCAGCACCACCGGTTCTTAAACATTAAATTAAGGCGTCAGAAGTGTGGCAAAAGGTTACTGCCACTCAAATTATTTTTCTAGCCCCTAATATATGCCTATAGTTTCAAAAAAATTAGTCTTTTCTATTAAAAATGAGGGTTTAATGTTTGGAATGCCAAATGGTGGTGTTGTAAGTTTCATCAAATCGCATAAAAACATAAAAAAATGTGTGTTAAGTTCTTAAAATGTACAATTTATTTTTTATCTATTTAAGTTTAGTAATACTAGTTGTTTTTTGTGACTATATTTTTGTCAATTTTTTTTATAGGAAGCGTTTCGTGCAATAGAGGGGATTCATTATTTGATGTTGATGTCAAAGAAACCACCTAAGCCTCATATGATGGCTAATTATTACCAGAAAGTTGCTCTTGTTTTTTTAAAAGCTGATAACTATCTATTTCATTCAGCTTCTCTCTTCCGTTTATTTACCTTAGTGAAAGAGCAAAAAAAAACTGTGACACCTGAAGAACTTGAAAAGTATGTCATTGATTTTATCATATTAATGAGTTTTATGATTAAAAACATTAGTACACAATTTGAAAGGTTTTGTTCACAAAAGAAATGATTTAAATAAATCAAATAAAGAATATTATATATACTAGTATATATATAAACAGACAAGAATATATGCATAAATACAACATTTAGCAAGTTAATCTTTATTAGGGTAATAAAAATATACAGTTAATTCCTGGTAAGTCGAACACCAGTTAATTTGAACTTTTGTAATCTCAAACTATTTCATTTGGTCCCTTAAAGTTTAACTGATTATTTTCAAAATTCTCCAGTTAAGTCGAACTTCGGATAATTCAAAATTTGTTAAGTTAAACAATTTCTTCAGTTAACTCATAATTTTTGTATAAGAAATTAAGAAATTAAAAAAAAAAACTTGATTAAAATTTCTTTAGAAGTCATTCCTTTAGCTTTTTCCTTTTTCCTACCTCTATAGATTTTCGTTGCATTTAGATCTGAATAGAATAGATCATTATCAGAGGTAAAATGATGCTTTAGTAAAACTGTTACAAATAAATCATAATAGAATGTTTTCATTTATTTTCAATAATCATAATAAAATAACGTAAATAAAGCAATTATCTTTTTGTTTTAATAAATTTCTTAACAAAAGATAGCTAGCTTTTAGACACAATTTTATTACCAATATTAAAGAAGTCATTGTGTTGTTTAACCTTTTTTAATGTTTCCTCTTAAGTGTACAGCGTGAATACAGTACAGTAAAAGTAGTTATACTTTGAAAGAAACAAGAAGGCCACTACAGTCGAGGAGGCTACATTAGTTGTGGTTACAGCCCTCTCTTAACTCTATAATTCCGAAACACAACTTTAAAAAACGAACATGATTTGACGAACAAGGCCGTTGCGCAGAGAAACAAGTTACATGTTGTATATACAGGACTTGCGATAAAGCGTCGGGGGATGTGAATTTTACGTCATCCAAGAGCGATTTTGCGTGTAGCTAGGGTTATTTGCGTCGAGCAAAATATTTTTGTTTGAGTATATTTAAAGATATTTTTGAGCGGAATTTTAATGAAGTAATTTACGATTATTTTAACATTTAATAAAGTATTTTAAAAACCGCACGCAGTTGATATAAAAGTTTGAATAAAAAAAAATTAAATTTGCTCATTATTTACAAGTTGAAAAAATTCAGATTAAAAAAAAAGTTTGAATCTTTTAAGCTAACATTTTAATAAAATTATTCAGCAATAGCAAAGTTGTCGATAAAATTGAACAAAAATACTTTCTTTTAGTTTTGGATTTTAAACTTAAATAATTATTTACGGGGGTTTGTTAGGTTTTAAAATTATTCCATAGATTTAAAAATATTTATTAACTATTAGACGTATTTAAAGTATTTAAGAGTAATTTCGAGGAAACATTTTAAAAATTGGTGTGCGCAAATAAAAAAAAAGAAAAGGATTAATATTAAAACGTATTCTACTTGATTCAATAAAAAAGTACAGTTATTAAAAGTTTTGTAAAAAGTAACTCAAAAAAATTACTTAAATAATAACGATCGCTTTTATGTTAAAAGTTACCGAAACTCAACGAAGCGTGCTCAAGAACAGCTGCTGAAAAATAGAACGTCAATAGTTTTTCGAATAATTTTTAATAATAATTTTTAAGAATAATTTTTTCGCTGAAATATTTCTTTTATACCTATAAGAAATTTATTCTAAAATTTTTATTTTATTTTACTAGAAATAAAATTCCTTGTTAACATTAAAAATCTATTTAAAATGTTTGTTTAAGTTTTTTTATTAATACGAGTGATTGTGCTTATCAACCGCTTTATGAAAATAAATAAAAATAAATAAATAAATATTATATAAAATCGCTGGTAAAAGTATTAGCTATTGCACAGTTTTTAATCGTACAATATTAAAATTTCCAGTTTATTATCGCTGGCTTTTTAAAAAGAAAAAATAATTATTTGAAAAACTTTAAATTACATATCTGAGAATAAAAAAATCAAATATTAGCATATTTTATAATCTTTTTTAAATGTTTAGTTAAAATGTTTTTTATTCGTTTAGTATAGACAAAACATGTCAAATGTCGAGAAAATAAACAAATGTTTTTACAATTTAAAAAACGAAACATTCCAAAACATTTTTAAATAATAACATTTTTACATTTTAAGTAGATTTAAAGTAGTTCTCTAGATTTAAAGTAGTTTTGCGGTAATAAAAGTAAATTGGTGCAGTTAATGTCCATAAATATGAAAAGCATATAAAAAGAATTTAATGACGTCAAAAATCATGTCGTGCTTATGCGTCGTGCAGTTTTTATTCATCACAAGGCCTGTATATATGTGTGTGTGTGTGAATATATATATATATATATATATATATATATATATATATATATATATATATATATATATATATATATATATATATATATCAATCTGTTCTTTTTATAATCACAATATTATTGTTTTAAGACTTAAATATAAGGTATAATTGTAACAAGACTACTTTTAGGATTGGAAGCCAAGTTCTTCTAGCAACCCTTTCTATACCAATTCCACCTGGTAAAAGTAGCATGGAAGAGTACTTAAGTTATGATACTCAAGCTTATGAGAAAGATCGTAGACTAGCAACTTTGTTAAGTTTATTATCAGTTCCTACAAGAAAAAGTCTTATAGAAGATGTTGTACGTGATCACTAAAATTTCATTTGTTTTGTATTTAATAGTGAGAATGAATAATTTGTATTTATGTTTCATATTCAAAAGTTGTTAAATTTAGTCATAGTAAAAAACACTGACTTTTAGGAAGCAATAATTTTTCCGCACGTGTCTGCGCCACTTAAAGAGTTATTTGCAACATTGGAGTTGAAGTTTGAACCTCTTAAAATTTGTAAAAAGGTTAATGAAACTCTACAGATAATAAACAAGGACGAAAATCTTCTTCAGTACTCTGAGTCTATTAAAGAAATTGCAATTACTAGACTTTTAAGTCAGGTAAATTATTTTTATTACAAGTTTTAATCATTTAATATTATGTTTAAAAGTTATAGACTATTTAAATATTAGGTACATAAGTATTATATGTTTTATATATAATTTGTGTAACACAGGGCTCGAAATAACTGTCAGACATCAGCCATTGTGTGACACTTGTCCGGTAAAAAACAAATTTGTTACTTTTTTAAATAAGTTTTGAGCACATTTTTTAAATGCTATAGTTTTCAAAAAAAAGTTTTGTTAGGATATGTAAGACATGTTCGCCAAGCCTAAGTATTTTTTGGAGAAATTGTCCAGGACAAAAATGTTTGTTATTATCAGGCCTTCTCAGGAGACCTTGAATGACCACGCATATATTTTTTTTTGTTGATAACATGGCCACGATTTTTTTTGCATTTATAAAAATGACGCATTTTAAAAAACGCGCTAAAAAAACCAAATTAATTGCTCATCTTTTTTTTATTATTGTTAATAATTCATTATTATAGTTATTAATGAGAAAATAAAAACATTAAAATAATATATATGGGCAATTCCATTTTTAACTTACATTACACGCACAACAACTTTATCAAGTATTTGCTTATTTAAATTTTAAATTAAACTTTTAGCAATTTTGTATAAAAGCTGTTAGTCTAATAAATAAAATAAGCTTAAAAGTTTTGAGCTCGACCAAAAGAGAGCAAACTTATTACTAAAAATGCCACTTATACTTATGTTACACGGAAAACAAGGTAAAAAAACAAATTCAACTTATAGGTCTTATTTCTGCAAATCAGCAAAGCAGTTTGTATTAGAAACTTTTACAAAATGCAGAGAATTCTATACCAATTTAAAATTTTTATAAAAAAACTTTTTTTAAATAAACTTGTTTTTTTGATACTGTATTTTTTACTTAAATTACATCACTTACATTATTGAGCTGTTATCATGATTTTTTTAATCTATTATTAAGAGTTAGAGTTACGTAAAAAAAGAATTGCATAAGTATTGAACTCATTCATTAAAAATAATTAACAAAGAAATTTTTTAAAAACTGGTGGCACTCTTTCTGAGTGATTTTTTATAACATTCATGAAAGTTATCAAGCTGGAAATAGTTTTTTTCGCAAGACCAAGAGCAACTTCAGAAAAATATTTTTGTTTTACATCTTTATTATTACTTAATTGAGTCATTGGTTTGTCGAAGTTTTTATTTACACTTCTTACGTTTATGCGTATTGCTTTATTTTATAAGATTGAATTTTTAAAATGCTGCTAATTTAAATTTTTAAATATTCAAATCTTTTCTAAACATCTATATGTCAACCAAAAAAATAGTATATAAACAAACAAACAAAAAAAAACAACGATAAAACATGCCTTCTCAGGAGAGGTGTGCGGTCGCACGCCTTGAATGACCAAATGACGCATATATATATTTTTTGTTGATAACATGGCCACGATTTTTTTTGCATTTATTAAAAATCTCAAAAACGCGCTAAAAAAACAAAATTAATTGTTCATCTTTTTTTAATTGTTATTAATAATTCATTATTATAGTTATTAATGAGAAAATAAAAACATTAAAATATCATATATATGGGCAATTCCATTTTTAACTTATGTTACACACGCAACAACTACCAAATATAAGCTTGTTTAAACTTTTAAATTAAACTTTAAGCAATTTTGTATGAAATCTGTTAGTCTAATAAATAAAATAAGCTTAAAAGTTTTGAGTTCGGCCAAAAGAAAGTAAACTTATTACTAAAAATGCCACTTGCACTTATGTTACACAGAAAACAAGGTAAAAAAACAAATTCAACTTATAGGTCTCATTTCTGCGAATCAGTAAAGCAGTTTGTATTAGAAACTTTTACAAAATGCAGATAATTCTATACCAATTTAAAATTTTTATAAAAACTTTTTTTAAATAAACTTGTATTTTTGATTACTGTATTTTTTTACTTAAATTACATCACTTACATTATCGAGCGGTTATCATGATTTTTTTTATCTATTATTAAGAGTTAATGTTACGTAACATAAAATAAATAATTTTAATACATATAAAAAAAAAAAAAGTTTTTTTTTTTAAATTCTCCTTATAATAAAAAGTTTCAGTTAAAACCTTGTCAAGCCAACAGGAAGAAATAATAATTACTTAATGACGTAATTCATTTAGTAAACAAAAACTTAACGAAAAATCGCCAGAATTTTATTAAATGCATGAAAACAAATATATATATATATAATATTTTAATCTTTTTATTTTATCATTAATTACAAATATATACATGTGCATTATTGTTAGGTTTTTATTTTCTCATAAATAATTATAATAATAAATTATTATTAATAAAAAAAACCCAATAAGATGACTATTTATTTTGATTTTTTCTGCTTTTTTTAAAATGCGTCATTTTTAATAAATGCAAAAAAAAAATCGTGGCCATGTTATCAACAAAAAAATATATATGCGTGGTCATTCAAGGCATGCGACCGCACGCCTCTCCTGAGAAGGCCTGATAAAATAAATAATTTTAATACATATAAAAAAAATGAAAGTTTTTTTTTTAATTCTCCTTATATAAAAAGTTTCAGTAAAAACCTTGTCAAGCCAACAGGAAGAAATAATAATTACTTAATGACGTAATTCATTTAGTAAACAAAAACTTAATGAAAAATCGCCAGAATTTTATTAAATGCATGAAAACAAATAAATATATATATATATATATTTATATATTATTTTAATCTTTTTATTTTATCATTAATTACAAATATATATATGTGCATTATTGTTAGGTTTTTATTTTCTAATAAATATTTCTAATAATAAAAAAAACCCAATAAGATGACTAATTAGTTTGAATTTTTCAGCGCGTTTTTAAAATGCGTCATTTTTAATAAATCCAAAAAAAATCGTGGTTATGTTATTAACAAAAAAATATATATGCGTGGTCATTCAAGCCATGTGACCGCTCGCGTCTCCTGAGAAAGCCTGTTATTATGAACCTTGGTGTATCATTAATTTACATGTAAAGTAACAAATTTTATACCTATTACTGTCAACATAAGTGTATATATAAACGCAGTAAACTTGCAAAAGATTGTATACATGGTCTAATAGTTTGCTTTGTAGCATTTTGTGTTCATAACAATAAACTGTTTAGCCTGTTTAAGACAACAAAAATATGTTACAATGTGTGTAAAACAATTTTGTAGTACTTGTTATTAAGTTTTAAATTTTATCTAATAGATTTCACAAGTTTATGAGAAAATATCATTCAAGCAGTTGTTAAAAATGGTGCCATTTGCAGACCGTCATCAGCTTGAGCATAGGATAGTAAATTGTGTTAAAGAAAATGACATGCAAATCTACATTAATCATCAAAAAGATTCTATTTCATTTGGTTCTGCATTAATGGTTGCTTTAAGAGAAGAAGTGCCTAATGGTCCTCACATTCAGGTAACAAAAAAATATAGATATTAATGTATATTTGGAATATATTAAGTGTACTCAAATTACTTTAAAATATATATTTGGAAATTTTTTAAAGATAATCAATGTTTCTTTTTAGGGAATGCCTTCTGAAATATTAAGAAGTCAATTATTTGTACTTTCAGAAGGTTTAAAAAAATCTATATGTCTTGTGAACCCTGAAGCTATTCAAAAAGAACATGATCTTCAACGTGAACAACTTGTTGCACAATACCTAAGACAAGAACGAAAAGAACATGTTCAACTGCTTTATAGAAAAGCAATTATTGAGCAGCGTAAGGAAAGAATTGAAAATGAAAGAAATGCTCAGGTAAGATATATTCATTTCATTTTTATTAGACTTGTTTGAGAAATAAATAATAAGAAAATATAATTTTTTCAAATACCTAATTTTGATTTCATAAATAATATTTGTTATAATTATATTGTTTGAAAGATTTGAACACAGTTTAAAATTAAATTTAAAGGGATCCCCAAGTGCCGAGACAAGTTGTGTTCATATCATAGGTAAACATTAGAAAATAAGTTAAAAAGTTTCCAAAGCAAATTATTGAATGAGATATTAACAAAAGAATTTGTTTTGCTATTATACTTCCAGTTGAGAGCCTAATTTTAGGCTCTGCAAATTTTTTCCGTTTAAAAACCATCTGGTTTTAATGATAAACTTTTGCTTTTTGTTCAATGTATCAATAAGTGTTTGAGTTAAAATAAACTAGCATAATAAAAATAGTAATTAAGGAAAGCGAACTTTAAATACACGAGATGAATTTTGTCTTAGAAAACAAGTTATCAATTTTTTTATATACAACACTAAGTACAATATAATCCAACATAGTTAAATTTGAAAGATTTAAAAATCTTTATTTTTTTAATAAATCCAGGAAACGGTTTTTAAAATAATCTCATACATATTTTTAATTATAATTGAATGTAATTTATATTTCTAATTCAAGAATCTGTTTTTTAAATGCATAATATATTTTTTTCAGATATATGTAAAATTGATATTCAAAACTTGAATCTTATATTTTCGTATAACCGCCAAAGGTGAAATTCCTGAATTTTAAACTTGACTTAAGTTTTTTGAAAGAAATTTTTTTTATTGACATCAAAGCGCATTAATCAGACTGGATTTAAAAAATAAAAACAATCAAAAAGCTGGAAAAAAATTTAATGCCATTTTTTTTCACAAGAAAAAAATCGCATTAAATTCTTAATTAAAAGTTAAGAAGTTTTTTGTTAATATCTCATTCAATAATTTATTTTGGAAAGTTTAATTAACTTTTAACTTATTTTCTAATGTTTATCTATGATATGAACACAACTTGTCTCAGCACTTGGGGATCCCTTTAATTAAAATGCGGTTTATTAAAATTCTAAAAAACAACATTGTAACTTAAAATTTTGAAGTACCATCTCTTGCAAAAGAGTTATATTTACATGCATTGTGCTTTTCCATTGTGAAACGAAATCTCGTAAAAAGGCCTGTGACTTGAATCTGCAATAGTAGATTATAGTAAAAAAGAGATACCAGTAAATTTTGAAAACATTGTTTTTTTAAATCACCGTATTGGGATACCCTTAGTGTATCCATTCACATTCCCATAGTGTATTACCCACCCATACATACCAAATAGTACTGAATGAGTACTAATATTAGAACTTTCGGTTTTTCTTGATGAACAGCGGAAAAAGCAGAAGTATAATTTAAAAGTTGGACACAAATTTACTATTGTCCATAGCCATCACTATTCACAGCGTTCCAGGTTTTTAAATTATTCAAACGTTTCATATTGTTTTAATATAACATAATATGTGTGGTTTGTTTTGTTAATAAAAAATAAAAATTAATGTTAAAAAATAAAAATTAGTTAATAATAAAATAAAAAAAGTGCTGTTTAATTAATGGTTAATTTTATTGTTTAGTTGTGCAATATTTTATTACTAAAATACCATTAATAAGAAGTGTTTAATTAAATATAAATTAATTATAATAAAAGGTGAAATTAAGGATTAGAAATTGTTGAAAGCCATAAAAGAAAAGAAACTTTTTATAATTTTTTTTAAAACCTTTTTTTAGGAGTAGTATATCAATGGAAAACAAATCAAATATCTAATTAGCATTTTTATTCTCTTTAGCCAAAATTTATGAAATTTTTATACATTGGTTTTAAGTAATAATAAAGAAAAACTTGAAAAAATACAAGTTTTAAAAGTTTTGGGTAATAGATTTTTGTATATTGGATTCATTTTTATGATAATTTTTTTTGGACGGTAGATGTTCTTTATTAGATTCATGTTTATGATAAATTTATAGTTTTATATCGAGTAATATTATAACAAACATTTCAAAGTATGATATATACCGATGGCTTAATCCGCAAAAGCAATTCTCCGGTAAATCAAACTGCAGGAGCAACAAAAGTATTTTATATGCTTATATATACACTTACATGGGTTTTTATTGCTATTTTTTAATATTTATTTAAAATCTTTACTAAAAACAAAATGACACATTAGTACAATGATATCATAGAAGTAAGAAAACCTGTTATTGAAGTACTGAAAGTGGAGTTATCTTGTTTGCAGATTACGCCGTCTATAATATATTTTGTGTGTACAAATGTATTTCATTTATAACAGCATTTGTATAACTTTCATTTAACAGGAAAAATATGAGCGTGAACAGGCCAATTTGCAAAAGGAATTATTACGCCAAGCAGAAGAGCAGAGACTTGAAATAGAACGCGAAAAGAGAGAAAGAGAAAGACGTGCACAAGAAATGAAAGAGATTCAAAAGCAACAAGTATGGGATCGTGTTGAATCTTTACGAGGAACAGAAGTTGGAAAGAGAGCTTTTAAAAATCTATCAGCTCAGGTAAGCCTATTAACCGTAGATATCTCTTGAATTTCTATAATTTTAAACAGTATAAAGAATAAAGCATATATTAGTTATAAAGTTTTATATTATTAGTTTATATATTAGTTTTAAAGCACCATGTACCAAATTTTTTAATAACTAAAAACATTTTAGACAAAGTAATATTAGTATAAGTTATTTTTATAAGGAAATTGATGAAATGGATCCAGCTGATATCCTTCAGCGTCAGTATGATCAAGTTAATCGTGAGAAACGTGAGCAACAAAGTAAACTTCGGACACAAGAAAAGCGCATTGATCACCTTGTAAGAGCTATGCGTCTTGAAGAAATACCCATTTTGGAAAAACATATTGCTGAGCAAAAAATTAAAGATAGAAAGGAATGGGAAAAAGATGAAGAGGAAAGGGTTAGTTACTGTTATAAATTATTGTTATAAATTATTGTTTTCCTGTAAAATAAATTTAAGATTGTATTAAAATTTTGTATTACAGAAGTATTACTTTTTAGACATTAGTATGATATTGCTAAAATACATACATTACTTTTAAAGGAGGTCTTACAGTCTTTTTATAGTATATCCTTGATCACATTAGTGTTTTAATTGTTTGTCTTTCATGTTTTAATTTTTTTTTATGTTCTTGCATACATTAGTCTTTTGGGCATTGTTAGCTTTGTAGTCCAATTTCTTTTATTATTACATTATTCTTATAATAATAATAAACCTTATGGTATTGATCTTAAACAGGTAAATGGTAAAAAATAAATGTAAAAATGCTACTACTATTATGTAAAGTATTATATATTTTTCAATGTCAAGCAAGAAGTTTAATTGGTGCATTATCTTGAGTGTTGATTAGAAATCTGGTATTTTTACTTATATTTCTTTTGTAAAAAATAAATTATTTTAAAAGCTAAATATATGACTTTCTGAATGACAGAAAATATGATGTATAAATTCTTAAAAAAGTCCAGCACTGATAAAACTAGAAATATACTAACTTATTTAGCATACACCTAGTTTTTATCTATTTTTAAAGCTGCTCATATTTTTCTTGCAATGACTGTTTGCTAGGTAATAATAGAGAAATTTCTAGACAAGAATAAACAAAGATTTAAATTATCTAATAATTTTAAAAATCTAACCAATTAAGATAGTTAAAAGATTTAGGATGCTGCTCCTTTATTTGTCTGTTAACTATATATGTATATAGACACACACCATTATCTTGACATATATGATGACATTGATAATGATGATGATGCTTATTGTAATGATAAAAAGTTTAACTTTTTTTTTTAGCTGCAAAATGCTGCAAAAGAGCACCAGTTAGCACTTCAAACAAAAAGCAGATTAGAAAGAATGTCAGCTGACAAACAAGTCTTTTTAGATACAATATTTGGACATAGACACAAGCAGCACGAGGTTTTTCTATTTTATATTCTAATACTCTTTTTTAAACACTTTAAATTATTATCCACATGATCGATTAGTTATATATATACAGGCCTTGTGATGAATAAAACCTGCGCGGCGCATAAGCACGGCATGATTTTTGATGCCATTAAATTCTTTTTATATGCTTTTCATATTTATGGACATTAACTGCACCAATTTACTTTTATTACCGCAAAACTACTTTAAATCTAGAGAACTACTTTAAATCTACTTAAAATGTAGAAATGTTATTATTTAAAAATGTTTTGGAATGTTTCGTTTTTTAAATTGTAAAAACATTTGTTTATTTTCTCGACATTTGACATGTTTTGTCTATATTAAACGAATAAAAAACATTTTAACTAAACATTTAAAAAAGATTATAAAATATGCTAATATTTGATTTTTTTATTCTCAGATATGTAATTTAAAGTTTTTCAAATAATTATTTTTTCTTTTTAAAAAGCCAGGGATAATAAACTGGAAATTTTAATATTGTACGATTAAAAACTGCGCAATAGCTAATATTTTTACTAGCGATTTTATATAATATTTTTTTATTTATTTATTTTCATAAAGCTGTTGATAAGCACAATTACTCATATTGCTAAAAAACTTTAACGAACGTTTTGAATAGATTTTTAATGTTTACAAGGAATTATATTTTTGGAAAAATAAAATGTTAGAATAAAAATCTTATAGGTATAAAAGACATATTTCAGCAAAAAAATTATTATTAAAAATTATTCGAAAAACTATTTTCAGCAGCTGTTCTTGAGCACGCTTCGTTGAGTTTCGGTAACTTTTAACAAAAAAGCGATTGTTATTATTTAAGTAATTTTTTTCGAGTTACTTTTTACAAAAATTTTAATAGCTGTAGTTTTTTATTGAATCAAGTAGAATAATTTTTTTATATTAATCCTTTTCTTTTTTTTTATTTGCGCACACCAATTTTTAAAATGTTTCCTCGAAATTACTCTTAAATACTTTAAATACCTCTAATAGTTAATAAATATTTTTAAATCTATGGAATAATTTTAAAACCTAACAAACCCCCGTAAAATAATTATTTAAGTTAAAAATATAAAACTAAAAGAAAGTATTTTTGTTCAATTTTATTGACAACTTTGCTATTGCTGAATAATTTTATTAAAATGTTAGCTTAAAAAGATTTAAACTTTTTTTAATCTGAATTATTTCTACTTGTAAATAATGAGCATGTTTAATTTTTTTGTAATTCAAACTTTTATATCAACTGTGTGCGGTTTTTAAAATATTTTATTAAATGTTAAAATAATCGTAAATTACTTCATTAAAACTCCGCTCAAAATTATCTTGAAATATACTCAAACAAAAAATATTTTGCTTGACGCAAATAGCCCTAGCTACACGCAAAATTGCTCTTGGATGACGTAAAATTCACATCCCCTGACGCTTTTGCAAGGCCTGTATATATAAATATATATATATATATATATATATATATATATATATATATATATATATATATATATATATATATATATATATATATATATATATATATATATATATATATATATATATATAAAATATAGATATAAATAAATATATATATATATATATATATTTATATATATAAAATATAGATATAAATATATATATATATATATATATATATATATATATATATATATATATATATATATATGTACATATATATATATATATATATATATATATATATATATATATATATATATATATATACATGTACATATATATATGTACATATATATATATATATATATATATATATATATATATATATATATATATATATATATATATATATATATATATATATATGTATATATATATATATATAGTAACAAGTTTGTTCTCAAAGCAAATAAATTATTCTGGTATAATGATTAATATTTACATTAGTTAAATATTCTTACGTTGAATAAGTTGAATCTTTGTTATATGCATTTGATTGGGTATGATATTGATTGGGTATGATGGGTATTATAGATGTTAGATTTTAATGGGGGTATTGAAAAGCACTCAAATGATTTTCAAAATGTCATCTAAAATAATTTCTTTATCTATGCCTAAATACTGCAGTTTTTTGTAAAATTTTAAAAATATCTGAATCCTAAAATCTTATTTAAATATGCAAATAGTTGTTTAACTTTAAATTAAAAAACTGATAATTAATTCTTTAGATACTCTTCTAAGACTTTAAAGTAATTAAACATTTATTTTATATTAATACTATGTAAGCAACTATGATTCTATAAGCTTTATTATTTTTTGTCAAAAAATTTTCATATTTTAAAAATGTTCCTAACTTTTTTATAGGTACGTTTAAGAGAGTTTGAAATGAATCTTAAACAAGTTCGCAATGAAAGGTTAGAAGCAAATAAGAAACAGCGAATGGCCCAGCGTAGGCAAGAATTTATACTTGCTCGTAGAGAAGAAAAGCGCAAAGAAAAGGCAGAACAATTACGCAGAGGTTAATAATAATAAACAATTAGTAACAGTTAACTAAATATTAATTTCTTCTTTCTTTGCTGATGTTATAAAAACAAAATATTGGTTTGCTTTTTGCTTTGTGCAAAGATATTTTTTATAGAAAAACGAACATGTTCTACTAAATTATAGTAGAAGCAATTCAAAGGTTAATAAATTAAAACAAAAATTTAAAAATAAAGTTTAATTTTAATTCTTTTAATAAAAAAGTTTTAAAACATTTTAATAAAAGTTGTTTGGTTTAAATAATTTTAATTAATTAAAATGCAATTGCATTCTTTTTGTATTTTTTGTATTTTCCATTGCCCATATTCTGCAGTTTTGGTTATTTTTATTATTGCCCATATTCTGAGGTTATTGACAAAACTATCTAATCAAAAAATTTTGAAACTCGTGAGGTTGCATACAAATTTAGGAATTAATCTGGTTTTTGCTTAAAGTATTTGCAAAGTTTAGCTGCTGTTGGTAATCTTATGGAATTGAATGTTGAACAAGCTATAGTTAGAAATTTGTAAAGTTGCAACTAATTTGATAATTTCTGCAACTGTAATTGTTGATTCTAAATTAAGTCTTGAATTTATTAAAAGTTTATTTATTAAAAGATTAATTTTTATTAAATTACTGTTAAATCTGATGATTCTTAGAATAAAATATCTGTGATTAGCGCATAGCGTAATAGGCATATAATTAGCTTATTACTTCTGATATATTTTGCATGCTAATTTTTACACAGGCTATTCTATGTAGAATACTTAAAAAGTCCTTTATTGGATGGTATTCTGGTATGCTTTGCTGGTTATCAACTTTGAACACAGTTTATGTAATTTTTTTTAAAGAATGACGTCACTGTTTGGCATAACGTGATGATGCCAGGTCAGGCAAAAATGACTTTTGCTCATTATTATGATAATCTTTTTATAAAAGGCACTAACACTAATTTTCTATATAGTAGACTTTTTATCAGTCTTTTCTTGCAACAATCAACAATCTTTATATTTTTTCATAACCTAAATTACAAATATTTTTATTTGGTTATCTAGAATTAACATATTTGTGTTTGATCCATTGTATTTGACCCCAACCCTGACAACCAAACAAGCATTTTTTGGTAAAATTTTGCAGTTTTTTTATATTTACTTGTGCAGTAGTTTGTTCAATGTTGCTTGAGTAAAAAATAATACCATAGATTGTTCTGTAAGTCAAAGTAAAATAAGATTCATCATCAATGGTGCATGATTTTGATACAGGCAATAATATCTTTGGCAAATACCTTAAATAAAAAATTATTTTTAAACTTTAAATTAATTTTATATTTAGGCATTATTTCTACTTTTCTAAACAAAACAAATACATTCTTTATGGTAGACATAACAGAAAATAACGACTATAAAGCCATTTTCTACACTGAAAATTTGCTTACCTCTATAATATTTTATAAGAATAATTAAAGATTTTCAAAAACACTTAATATAAAAATTAATATAAAAATCTGCTAAACAATAACAACATTATTTGTGATTAGGATGGAAAAAAAAAAATTTTTTTTGAAAAATTTACTTAAAAGAACGTTTGTTTGTTTTAATCCAATTAGAAACTCTAACTAGTTCTTTACTCGTATTATAAAATTGCTATGTAATATTATTGAAATAAAAATAAGTTTTTGTTGACTGCAAACTCAACCGTAATTAACTTTAATCTTTAATAGTATCAATAATAAGGGCAAGTCTGTAATTCCACCTCTTTTGTATGGTTCAGACTCACCTCACCTAAAGATAAAGCTGAATTGTTTGCCAAGAACTTTTCATCAATATCATCTCTTGATGTCACTAGTTGCGTTCTACCTGATATAGCCGTCAAACAGGTTGATCCATTGCTCGACATTCGTATCACTCCAGCTTCTGTATCTAAAGTGATTTCCCGCTTAGACTCTTCTACAGCTTGCGGCCCGGACAACATACCTGTTATAGTCTTGCAGAAATGGCCCTATGCTCTTTTTAATTTACATTAACGATCTTCCAGATATTCTCACATCTAAGGTGGCATTGTTCGCTGATGATACTACCATTTATTCTTGTCACAATAAAAAGCCAACTCCCTCTGATTGCTTGCAGGGGGCATCTGAGCTTGAAAAGCATCTCACTTCTGCTACAGCATGGGGCTCACAGTGGCTGGTGAACTTTAATTCAGATAAAACTCAATTTTTTTCGGCCAATTGTTATTGCAATAATTTAGACTTTCCTATATTTATGAACGGTAATGTACTCGATGAGTCTCCTACTCTTCATCTTCTAGGATTAACTCTTACTTCTGATCTTTCTTGTAAACTTTATATCAAATCCGTTGCAAAATTAGCATCTGCTAAAGTTGCTTCTCTTTATCGAGCTCGTCACTTTCTTACTCTGGATTCTATTCTCTATCTTTATAAATCTCAAATCCGGCCTTGTATGGAATACTGTTGGCATATCTGGGGCGGATCTTCTAATGATGCCCTTTCTCTTTTAGACATGGTGCAAAAACGTGTTGTAAACATAGTTGGACCTGCTCTTGCAGCCAACCTTCAACCTCTGTCACATCGTCGTAATATTGCTTCTCTTTCTCTTTTCTACAAATACTATAATGGGCACTGCTCTAAAGAGCTAGCGTCTCTTGTGCCATCTACTAAAATTCATTCTCGTGTTACTTGTCATTCAATTAAGTTTCATCCTTTTTCTGTTACTGTTCCTAAGTGCTCCAAAAACTCTTATTCGTCTAGTTTTTTTCATCGAACATCAGTTCTTTGGAATTCGCTTCCTTCATCTTGCTTTCCTGATTCATATAATTTGCAATCTTTTAAGTTGTCTGTCAATCGTTATCTACAATCTTCATCTTTTCTCTCTCTACAATCTCTCTCTACAATCTCTCTCTACAATCTCTCTCTACAATCTCTCTCTACAATCTCTACAATCTTCATCTTTTCTCTTCCGGTAACTTCCAACACTAATTAGTGGTTGCTTGCAGCCTTGTTGGAAGCAAAGATTTTTCAAAAACTTCCTTGCTGGTCATTATTTCATGTTTTTTTTCTTTTTATGGCAATCAATGCTGTTTTTTTATTTTTAATGAGTAATTAATCAGTGCTATGCTAAATTCAAATTTTTAAGCAGCCTGCATTTGAGAAACTCCATTACAGTGATCAAACATGATTTTGAGGCGCTTGATTTTTTTCCATTCATTTTTCTAACAACACTACCCCTTTCTTTACCCCTTTTTTATAATCAGAGCCATTTTCAGCACATTGTATTATGTCAGAGATTATTTATCTTGAAGTATTTTCTATTAATAAGTGGTCCAAGGTGATCTTTTTTCCCTAAGACCAATGCCCTAAATAAAATTCTTAAATTTGTTTTTTTGATGTCATTTTCTTAGATTTATGTATATATGAAGGAAAAATATTAAATTTTTAAAAAAATGGATGATATTTAAAAATAAAAAAACTTGTTGGTATACCTTTTTTAGGCTTCAAACTTTTCACAAATTTGTTCTACAGTTTTATTTCAAACCTCTTCTATCATTTCCATCATTTTAATTTCAAACCTCTATACTAATTTAAAAATGCAGACAAAAAGCTGGCTACAAATTTTAATTTGAAGGTTTGTTACCACTCTTTTTTACTCTTTTTTATCACAAATAACAAGATTTAGCCTAGATACTTAGCCATGGCTTAAAATGAAGTTTTTTAGTGTCCTATGGATTAACAGACTGCAGAGAATAGTTCATCTGTTCAAAATATATCGGCTGTAAAAAAAGATGCAGAATTAAGTCTGCACATCCTTAAATAAAAAGATAGGATTTTGACAAGTTTTTTTCATTCAATTGGGTTTACTGTTGGCAAATTATTCAGATTGTCAGTTTTGTTCATTATGACCTTGTTTAATTCATTCTTTGTCCAGTTAACCATTATGTGCAAAGTTGTGAGTATCAAATTTTTATTATTTAGAAAAAGAAGCTGAAGAAATTCGAAAACAAAAAGAAGCTGAAGAGAAGCGAATCTTACAAGAAGCAAGACTAAAAGCACTTGAAGAATCTGCTCGTAAACAAAAAGAAAAAGAACGTGAAATTGAAGAAAAGTTAGAAAAGGAGCGAAATTTATTAAAAGAAGAGCCAAAGAAAGGTAAAATCTTATTCAATACAATCTCTCTAATTCAAATTTTATAGGGAAAAATAAAAGTTTGTATTAGCAAGATTGTTGAATCATAAAAAGTTGACATCTTTTTTTTAATATTCTCATCTAAGTAACAAATAGAAATGAAACAAACAAATAATGATTCTTAGACCTAAATGCAATAAATATTATGTGCTTTAAACTTTTACATTTTAGAAAAATAAGTTAGTAATTGTTGGTTTATGTCTTTAAAAGCCTCTGTCAAATTATCTCTAAAGTTAGAATAAAGAGTGTAATTTTTTAGTACATTGATAGCATGCATTTCTTTGTTCAAGCTTGGTTTTATAGTATTGTCAGAAACACCAACATCGTCAGATTCCTCTTCAGTTTCAATAGCAACATGTCCAGAAACTTCTGCAATGATGTCTTCATCTAATGATTTGTTGGCAATGTAAACATCGAAATCTATGTTTACTAACTCGTCAGTCATGAGGTTAAAATCTGAATCAAATTTTGCTTTTAACAATTGGAGATCATCTTTAAAGTTTTTTTTTACAGCCTCCTCTACATCTAAGCTACTCAAAGGATCGTTATTATCATTTATATGCGTTTCTACTTCTAATAATATTCCTGATTTCTTGAAACAATTTATATAGGTCTGGTCTGAAGTGGAATTCCATGCTTTTGTTAGCATAAACAGCAAAAAAAGCATGAAATTCCACTTCATAACTCGGATAATTCTGCCAACATTCAACTTTTTGGATGGGCTTGATAGTGACAAGGAATATTTTTAACACCTTAAAAAGATCTAGGAAACTTTTAACACCTTTAAAAAAACATCTAGGAAAGTCTTTCTTCTAACATTAAATAATTTTCTAAGCCTTCGGCCATCCCAGTCAGGCGAACTTTACTATGATTGCCTCCTGTGCACTTTTCATTTTTAAAATAAAAACTTTTGTTAAGCAAACATTGGTAGAAAAGGCCAATATCATCAGCATTAAAAATATTTTCAAGTGGGTATCAAGAGAGAATTGTAGGCAGTGTGGTTTTGAGCCATTAACTTGTTTGCTTATTAACCAACTTTGCCTTTCCAGAAATGGTTTTGAAATATATACCATACCTACAAAAAAAAAATTATAATTGTTTAGATGCAATTAGTATGTATGTTTGAATGTAACTCTGCAAATTTCCAGTCCAAATGTCCAATTCTGGAAAATATTTATTTTATTTAAACCATTTAAGAAAAAAACTAAAATAGTCTTTTACTGTAAAATTAGATGAAATAAAATAAGAAATAAATTTACTTTTTCTTAAATTTGTCTAGCAATCTATTCATGGCTGTTTCAGAAAGAGCTTTATGGCTTCTTGTTTTTTTTGTTGAAAATTTTGACTTAATGGGTGTTACTAAAACATTTATAACTTTTGAAATATTAGAGATAATTTTGTTTTGTAAAAGGAATAAAAACAACAATAAAATGTTTAATCATACGACATTTAATACAATAGTAAAAAAACTTCTTTTAGTTTATAAAAGCGCAACAAATGATGAACTTGGTTAAAATTTAGTAATTTGTTGTTACTTTTTATCAAAAAAAAAAATCAGAAAAATATATTTCTGATAGTTATTATCAAATACACTCATTGTTGTTACTGCTTTGTCAAGTCCGCCATTATGGATTTTGTAGATGTACTTATTTAGTAAATAATTTAAGATCCAGTAGAATAATGTGGCTAAAAATGGGTACCTGACCATTTTTGAGGGTGCTAAGTTCAATAATGTAGAGAAGATAGTGAAATTTAAAGTTTTTGATGGTTATTTTTTGATTTTAAAATGGTCAGTCAAATTTTTTGTTCTGTTACCAAGGGTCGTGCTTTCATTAACTCTCAGAGTTGCTCAAGTCTTATGGATTCAATTTTTTTTTTGCAAATGAACTAGGCTATCTTTATAAAAAAAGATAGTTTTGGTTTCTTAAAGCATTATAAAGATATGTCATTTTGAAAGTTAGACAAAAAAAAATTTTTTTGTAGCCTCTATTCTCCATTATAGAATTTATAGTGATACTTTTTGTGTGAATAATTTGAGTTCTAGTGGAGAAATATGATTGAAAATTGGTACCTGACTAAATTTAAAGATATCGAATACAAAGATGACGAGAAATTAACCCAATTCTTAATATTTAAGTATAATTTTTTAATTTTAAAATATCAGCAGTCAAATTTTTGTTTCATAACCATGGTTTACATGTCACTTTCTGGAGTTGCCTTACTCTCATTGTGAAATAAGAGGTCTTAGAAAAGTTTAGGCTTCTGAAAGAAAATAATTTTCATTATTTTCAAAAGTATATATGGAAATATAATTTACTATGTAACTCATTAAAAATATAATTTCTATATTAATTATAATAGTTTAAATTAACATTATTACTTAATGTCTAATAATTAGGTATTGTTTAAAAATATTGGTTGCATGCTTAAATATTAGATTGCATGCTCAAATGTTATATTAAAAGATATGAAACTAAAATGCAAACTTTTTTGAAAAATAGTAAAAATTCTGCTTTATTGAAAAAATCTCAAAAATAAAAAGAAAAAGGAATAACAAAATATTACTAAAATTGAAGTTTATATCATTTAAATAAAGAAAGTAAAATATTCATCAACTTTCACTGACAGAATAAAAGCTGTTCAAGTAGAGTTTCATCTTCTTTTGAGATTTGGTACTGAGCCTTTTAACAGTGCCACCTATTCCATCGTATGGAGATTTACCATGGCTTGTTGAAAAGAAATTCCAGATGCACCGAACAGAAAATCTTGAACATGGTGACATAAATTGTAAAAATGTTTGCAATTTTTATACTGCCCTGCACAGCCATCAGAAAAATAATGAATTTTTGTAATTGCGGGACAAAGACGAGTTTTTATATGATTCATGGTTTTATGCATAACTTCATTGATAAATCCAACATCATGATTCAAATCATCTGAAGTTACACAAAAAGAAAATTTTTCTAATTTCACTTTCTTGTAGTAGTTGACAACTGGATTAAGAGAACATTGACTCTGGCTCCAATCGTAACTCTGTATCTCGTCATGTACAAAATCTGCTAGTACAATAGCCTCATCAATACTAATTGTTTCTTTGAGATGCTTTAGATAGCTAGATTTTGCTATAAATTTAGATTTTGGCTGTTTTCAAAACATTTTCAAAACAAAAAACAGTCTCAAAACGTAATCTCATTAGCCATTTAGGCTGAAGACTACAAAATTTAGAAAATCCAATTTTATGGTCTGGGTATTTAATCTTATATGTCACATAGAGCTCTTTTAAGTTAATCAATTTTTATGATATAACATTTTTTTTCTTCCCAATACTTACAGTCTTTTTTACCTGGCATTTGCCTTGAATACTCATTGTCACAGTGAAAAGGCTTTACAAGTTCTATAACATTTTTACTGATTTGATGCTGTTCAACCACATTAGGGTATGCTATGATGCCTTTTTGTTCATGTAAAAGCTTTGCATTTTGAATTTTGTGTTTGGAAACTGAAAACTCTTTTACCACTTTTCTGATAGACCGAGATTTTGGGGTCTGTCAAAATTTGAAGTTGCAGCCTTCTCTCAGAGACTTTAAGTTTTTCTTTCATGCATTTAACAAGGAAGTCTAAATCGCCAGCGTTGGTTTGAATTTCCATTAGAACTTTTTTGTTGTTTGATGCAACAAGATCAACAAGATTTTGTGACATCCAGAACAGTTGCAAGTTTCTTAATAACTGCTTCTTCAACATGCTTTATCTTTCTCTTTCCAAGTAAAGGCTTGTTAGAGGTTTTTGGTAAATAAACTTTTAGCGGAGACACTTTAAGTTCACTCAAAGTACTGTTGACTAATGATCTTATTGATTCCAGTATAATTTCTTTTTCTATTTTATCTTCAGTTAGTTTTATCTCCAACTTGTTCTCTTCTGATTCTTCACTTGATGCTAATTTATGTCTGCATTGTGGACAAAGTTTTTCACCTGGCACTACGAATTTGCCTATACTGCATACTTTGCTGTATCCAAGTTGATTTCATGTAGACTGCCTAAAAAAAGGGAAGAACTCTTTTAATATGTATAAAAATTTGAATAAAACTATTTAAAGTTTAAAGTGCACTTTCAGTCAGCTAAAAGTTATGTTAAATATAGCTAAAATAGAATTTGGTTGCAAAGAATTTCATTATTGTAGCTCAACATTTTCACATAACTAAAAGTTGTGATTACTATAAATAACTTTTATAACTTTGTTATAATTATTAAATTATGTGCATAAAGCTTCAAACAATCATGTTTATGATGGAGACAAGTTGTTGGTTTGACATTGATTATTGAGAGCCCAGTCCTCCACATTAATATTTCTCTTTCATATTCAGGAATATCTTCAAAAGATTCGATTTCAAGCAACGGTGTATATGTTGCAAGATGACATTCACTTTCTAGCTTGATTCCAATGGAGCACTGTTGGCTGTTTGCCATGACTAAGAAACTGAATTACCAAACAAGACTCAATAATTATTTAATCTGAAATTAAAATAATATTAAGCTTATACAACTGGTGTTTTAAAACTATATTTATACGACATAACTGATGTCATAAATCTATATTTATACATCATAGCAGGCATTGCAAAACTATATTTTTACATGACAGTTCTCTTCACAAAACATTATTTATATATCAACACCAACCTCAAAATTAGCTCAAAATTAACATTTTTTATGTTATATTGATAAATACCACTTGGTAAAATTTGAAAGAAATCTGAGAGGGTGACTGAAAATTTTCAATTTTTTGTCCCAATTTTACATGGAATTACCCTGTACTAAAGTTTAAAGTTGATCAATTTTTGACATAGGTGACAACATAAATAGCACACTTTCATGACCAATTGTTTTTTTTTTTTTTTTTTTTTACCAAGTTTTATGTTTTTATAGTAATAGCTGGTATTTTTTACACCATCAACAATGTTTAACTTTCTGAGCAGAACTACTAATTTGACATTTATAACTGTCAAAATTGCTAGTTTTAATTATTTTGGCCTGTTAACATTTTTTTAATCATTTTAAATAACACACATCAGTTCTTTGCGTAAGTAATAAATAGGCTTATATAAGGACAAAGTATTAATATAACCATGCGTATAATACTTTGTCTTTCTATAAGTCTATTTATTTATAGGAGGGAATGATAAAGATTGATATTGCTGTGATTAATTTTTTTTTTTTTTGTTTCGCTTATGATTTAGTTTACATTAATATAAAAATTTTGAATTTTTTTGGTTTTTCTTCTATTTATTTTCTTTTTAAAAGTGCTAATTATCATAACTTGCAAAGAGCTGTGGTCAAGAAAATTGTTCTACTAAATACAGGCATTTTAAGATCAAAGGTGGAACAATTTTTAGAAGAAGAAAGTCATCAATGCAATTATTTTATATGTAATACTCGTTCATTAAGCAATAAAAAACAAAATTTCTTGAGATCGAAAGAAACCTCCCATAGAAGATGCAACCATCATCTGTATCTCTTAGTTGAATCCTTTTGCTGGCATACCAGAAATAAAGCACAAAATTTAAAACTTTGTCTGTCAGCTCAAATTTTAATCTGTTAAAATTATCTTATGCAAAAATAAGCTGGAAGGGTTGCGCAACAAAAACCATTTTCAAAACAAAAAACAGTCTCAAAACGTAATCTCATTAGTCATTTGAAGCTTGCAAAACAGTGCGTACACAAGGATATATATTTTTGGAAAAATATGTTCTGGATTGACACATCTATGTTTAATTGCTTTGGGTCCTACAGAAAACAATGTTGTCTTTGGTATACTCTAAAGACCATAAAATATGGTTATGGTAATGTGATTGTTTGGGAGAGTTTTTCATGGTTTGGCATGGGCCCGTTGCATAGAATTTAAGGGAGAATGGGTCAACACATATACAAAGAAATAAAAAACTTCATGTTGCCGTATGCAGAGGAAAGTTTCCCTTTTATTTCGGAATTTAAAACAAGACAATGACCCCAAGCATGCCACTAAGTCTTTAACACTAGCAATATCAATTTTTTTGATTGGCTTGCACAGCAGCCAGACCTAAAATCCGATAGAAAATTTGTAGGAGGAAGTTAATAAAATCAAAAGTCGATTGACTACAACAAATTTAATCCAAACTATGATTGAAATGAAAGAGGCTACTTTAGGCGCCATTATGCCTGAACAATATCAAATATTGATCTCATCAATGGGTTGTCGTTGTCAAGCAGTTAATGACTTTATTGACTTTACAAAGAACTAAGAATTGAAAAAATGTTTTTTGTAGCAAAAGGATGAAAGATAATTTACAGGATGTGCTATTTAAATTGCCCCTTTCTGTACCTATAGATAATTTATATGATAATACTTTTTTTCTAACTAATTTATTTTCTTTACTTACTTAGTGATGTTATCTTTTAAAACTAATATTTTATTTGACTAAATAAGTTAACTTTTCAATTACTTTTAAGCAAAAAGAACTTTAATTTTGAAAATACTGTGCTATTTGATATAGTCAGGGGCTATTCTAGACCATTTTTGACAGCGTCAACTATATTTGGGTGTCGCCCAAATAAAAAATTAAGGATGATAATTAAAAAAAAATCTTTTTTTTGTTTATTTTTTTAATGTTTTTGCGGCAAATTTTTTAGGTTTCGCAAAATAAAAAAAAACAGCGATATTTGGGGGTACTGCTGCCCAATTTTTTTCATTAGAATAGCCCCTGATAGTGTAAGTTACATTTATAAAAGTCTAACCAAATTTATTATATATCCATTATTTGTTTTTCTTTAATAAGTAATTTTTTTTTTTTTTCATTTGCATTCACTCCCAACAAGGCTGCAAGCAACCACTATTAAGTTGGGAGTTACTAGGAAAAAAAAGAACAGAGTTATAGAGCAAGGAAACGGTTGACAGAAGACTTGAAAAGTTGAAGGTTGTAGGAGTCAGGAAAACATGAAGATGGGAGAGAGTTCCAAAGGATTGAAGTGCGGGGAAAAAAACTAGATGAATAAAAGTTTTTAGAGCATGCTGGGACAGATACAGTAAACGAATGAGACTTAGCTGAATGACGAGTAAAACGAGAATGAATTTTAGTTGATGGAACTAGAGATGATAACTCCTTTGAGCAGTGACCATGGTAGCATCTGTAGAAAAGAGAAAGAGATGCAACTTTACGACGATGGGAAAGAGGTTCAAGCTTAGCAGATAGTCCAGGTCCAACAACATTTACAATGCGTTTTTGGACCTTGTCAAGAAGAGAAAGTGAATCGTTAGAAGAACCAGCCCAAATATGACAACAGTATTCCATACAGGGACGAATAAGAGATTTGTAGAGGTAGAGAATGGAATCAGAAGTAAGGAAATGGCGAGCATGATAAAGAGAAGCAACCTTAGCAGAAGCTAATTTAGCAATCGATTGTATATATGGTTTCCATGAAAGGTCAGTAGTAAGCGATAATCCAAGAAGACGTAAAGAGGACGACTCAATAAGAGGATTGCCATTCATTAATATAGGAATGTTGACCATACTATGGTAGTTGTTTGCAGTAAGCAATTGGGTTTTTTTAGAGTTGAAATTCACAAGCCACTGTGAACCCCAATCTATTACTGAAGTGAGATCAGATTCAAGATCAGCTGCTTGTTCTAGGCGATCGAAAAGAAAAGACTTTTTGTCAAGACAGGAGTATTAAGTTGAGTCATCAGCAAAAAGAGCTACTTTAGATGAAAGGTTGTCAGGAAGATCGTTTATGTAGATAAGAAACAAAACAGGGCCCAGGATGGAACCTTGGGGAACCCCAGAAGTTACTGGAAATAAAGAAGAGTGTTGGCCTTCAAGGATGACTTTAATAAACCGGTCAGAAAGAAATGATTTGATAATCTCAAAAACTTTCCCAGAAACACCATATGAAGCAAGCTTATGGAGAAGACCAGCATGCCAAACTTTGTCGAAAGCTTTAGATATGTTGAGAGCAATAGCCCTAGCCTCACCGCCTCCATCTAATGCACGATAAAATCTTTCAGTTACAGCAGTTAGCAAGTCGGCCGTAGAGCGAGAGGATCGAAAACCGTATTGATTGTCTGACAGCAGTTTATTTGACTCAAGATGAGATGTGAGGAATTTGTTGATCAAAGACTCAAAGACCTTGCTAATAACAGAAAGAAGACTGATCGGACGATAATTGGAGGGGTCAGAATTTTCTCCAGAGTTTTTGAATATTGGAACCACAGATGCCATTTTCCAACAAGCAGGAAAACAAGACTCAGTCAAACACTTGTTAAATAGTTTAGAGAGAATTGAAGAAAGTTCTGGAGAACAATTCTGCAAGACTGTGACAGGAATGTTGTCTGGACCACAAGCTGTAGACGAGTTTAATTGAGATATGACTTTAGCAACAGAAGCCGGAGTGATTTGAATGTCTAACAATGGGTCAACCTGTTTGACTGGAATGGAAGGAAGAGAATGTCCATAAGATTCAAGAGTGGAATTAGAAGAAAAGTTCTTTGCAAACAGTTCTGCCTTATCCCTGGGAGAGGTAACAAGATCAGTCCCATGAATGAGAGATGGAATGTTAGATCACCCTTGTTAACAATGTTGTTGAAGATTTTCCAAAAGTCTTTAGAGCCTAACTTCTGCGATAAGATGCGAGATTTAGTGAACTGAGAATAATGGAGTTTAGCATCAGAAAGCACCTTTTTACATCGATTTTTTGCAATAATAAATAGCCGTTTGTTTTCAAGAGAGTTGTTCTTTTGAAAAAGATGAAAAAAATGGTTACGATTGGATATAGCAGCCGCACAAGAAGGAGAAAACCATGGAGTAGAATGAGGCTTGACTTGAAACTGACGAGAAGGAATAAAAGCTTCCATTCCAGCCTGAATCCAGGAGGTTACGTAGGAGGCGCATTTGTCAGCTGAGAGAGAAAAAACATCAGCCCAAGGATTAATTACAATAACTACAATTACAATACTTTATTTTTAATTACAATAATTTATTTACTTACATTTATTTAATTACAATACTTTTTGTTGAATTTACTTACATTTATTTAATTACAATAATTACAATACTTTATTTCTTAGTTGCTTGGAATATCTTGAACCTTTAACTAAAAAGTTATTATTTAGATTCAAACTTATTTTTTGTTTCATTGGACTCTTTTAGAGACTGTTGTTGCTGGCAAGTATATTCCACCAAGCCAAAGACGAAGAATGGAAACAGCAGCAGGTGTTGATAATTGGAGAGGAGCTGGAGGTGGTATATTGTTTTTATTTTGGTTATAATATTTTGCTCTAAATCATTTTTACAAAAGTTGTTAATTTCTATTTTGAAATAAACAGTAATATAATTTTAAAAAAACAACCTTTAAAGCATTAAAAAAAAAAAATCTGTAAACTCTAACAGTTTTATACATATTTCTAGGGGATCGTTAATTCCTTTGAGTTTCAATTATGATTTTTGGTTCTCAAAAAACACTATTATTTTCTATTATAATCTATTATAATCTAGTTTAGTAATTGCTCAAACTGAAAGATATAAAAATAATAATAAAAAAAGTAAAATGAATTTTGATAAAAAATATTTCAAGTTTTTAATTTTAATAGAGTAAAATGAGGTCAAATGGAATAGTTAAGGAATTTAATTAATTTTTTTACGGAAAGATTTTTTTTTTTTTTTTAAAGTTGTAGAGAGTTTAAAGCTGTATTTAAATATATAAAAATCTAACAATATTTTTGTAAAATTTTTTATGAAACTTTAATTTATTAAAAAAAATTTATTCCATTCTACACTGACATGCATGGAGATTAAAATACGCAAATATAAGTTTTGTTGAAAAAACAAAAAGCAATCAATAATAGCAATTAAAAAAATAAAAAAAATCTTATTACGCGTTCAAAAACTTATAAATTTCTAACAAAATTTTTTACAATCTTACTTAGAAAAATATTCTCTACAATATAATCAAAAAATATTTGCAAAAAAAAAATCCAATAGTTAATTAAGAGCAAAAGAATAAACATTGTCATAACTATTTCATTCTACCCGCTATTTCATTTTACCCTGTTTTACTCTATGCATTATATCGAAAATATTATATTTTTATCAGATGTTATTTTAATGGTTGTAATCTTGAATGATAGTAACTATTTTCAAACTTTATGTAACTATGGTTATAAACTATTTTCAAACTTTATGTAACTATGGTTATAAACTATTTTCAAACTTTATGTGAGGTTTTGATAGAAAATAAGAGTTATTCATTTCAATTGAAATGAGTAAATTTTTTAAACATACTTTTAAACGCAACTCTCGTGTATTATATGTGAAAGATAATAAAATTATATTACGCTTGCAGTTACAAATGAATTTTAACACAAACATTTTTTTCAGCAAACTGTTATTAATATTTGTTACTTCATTTTAATCTGTTATTTCATTTTTTTTTTAAACAATTATTTTTGCTCATAAAAATGTTATTAGTCTTGTTTTTTCCTGTGTACATCAGCAAAGTACAGTTCTGTCAAAGTTTTTGTGATTGTGTTGCAGGGTTGCAAAAAACTTTTTTTTAATAAAAACCAAAAACCATGGTTTTTTTGGTTTAAACACTTTTTTTTTTTTTTTCCTCTAAATAAGTCCGTATTTAGTCAACTTTTTTAATTAAAAAAAAAAAAGCATTAGTCATTTCACTTGAGTAAATGATATTTTCTATTAACATTTCTGCTGTAATTCGTCAGCCAATACATCATTATTTAATGTTCTGTATATAAAAACAAGTTTTGCTGCTTTTTTTACTCCCATCTTGTTTTTCTTAACTTAGAATTGAATTTCTTAACTTTGAATGAAGCGTTAAAAAAAATTCTTTCATGTTCAGCACTAGAAGCTGGTGTGTTTAACAAAACCTTCAATATCCATGAATTTAGAGATTTCCACCATTCTATTGGTGATACATTTTTCAAAACAGATTCACTACACAAATAGCTTTTATCGAATTTGCTCCAGCTTGATGATTTTATTGTATATATTTTATTATCTGTGTACCATGCTTGCTCACATTTTCAATCTTGCTAAAAAATTTAACATGTAAGCAGCACACCCATAAGTAATTATTCAGATATCTCCTTCAGATGACAATACTTGTCGCATTGATTTCATATTAGCTGCGATGTCAGTCACAAAGTTTTTTACTATTTACTTTTTACTTGGCTTTGTTTTTTACTTTATGGTTTTTGGTTTATATTATAAAGATTATTCTATTGCTTCTCTTTGTGTGTTGATATAAAATAAAATTGTGTGTTGATATAAAATAAAATTGTGTAAGATATAAAATAACAGTTACAATAACTTCATTAAAGTTTTATTAAATTTTAGTTATTATTGAACTTTAATGTCTTAAATGTTTAATAAATCCATAGTAAATGTAACTTATTTAATGTACACAACTTTTATTATTATATATATATATATATATATATATATATATATATATATATATATATATATATATATATATATATATATATATATATATATATATATATATATATATATATATCTTATACTGCTGATTTAGGTGGGATGTGTGATGTCATATTGAAATAGCCTGCTGCTGGGGGCTTCAGTACATACATCGACTGACAAATAGCCTGACTCACAGTGGAGTGCTGCTACATAGCCTAAGGGTTTTGGGATGGGTCAGCAACCTTTTCATTCATTATTCGTCGTTTTCCCTCTTCGTTTTTTAAAAAACCTTTATCGATTTAGATGTATAAAAAATTTGTATAAAAAATAAAAGGTTAAAAAAATTAAGTATACAAATATATAACACTGAATTGATAATAACTTTGGAACAACTAAAATGATTAGAAAATAAATGCACATAAAATATGGGTGGGACAAATATATATATACACACACACAGGGTTACCACTCCTCCTTAAAATTCTTAAATATCCTTAAAAAATAAAAAACCTCCTTAAACGTCCTTAAATATCCTTAAAAAAGTTTGACTGCTCTCCTAAATTTCTCCTTAATATTATTTTTTTTAATCATCTAAGAAATTTTATTAAAGTGAATGGGTTATACTTATCAATAAAGAAGAAAATATATAGTTCTTTGATAGTAGTGCTTCCAGTACCAGACTTTTTCAAGTACAGAAATACTGGTATTGGTTTGGCTCAATACCGGTATTAAAAATATATGTAGAGGGCTTGAGATATAGCAGATGGTAAAACCCTCTTTGCACGAAATACGAAATTAAATGATATATTTAAAACTTCTGGTCGCGATAAACAACGCTCTTAGTGGGATAAAGATAGGTAAATGACAAAAAACGTGTTCAAAACATGTAAAACATGTACTATTAACTATATTACTTCCTAAACGCGTCTTTTATCCACTGGTAGCGACTAGCTAGATATTCGCTGGCTAGTCGCTAGCTCATTTCCCACCGGGCTTGTTCATCTTGTAATGAGAGTATAAAATCAGGCTCGCTAAAGAGTTTGGGATAAAGAAAATAAGTGGTTTAATTTCGGTAGTGGTGTAGTAGTAAAACAGTTTCGAGTTCGATCCCCACCACGTCCCTGGTAGTACCGCGCTCAACTTGTTTCTCCGCGCAGCGGCCTTGTTTGTCAAGGTTTGTGTTTCGGAGTTATAGAGTTGAGAGAGGGTTATAATCACTATTAAGTAGCCTCCTTGTCTGTAGTGGCCTTCTTGGCCTTGAGGAGGTGAATAACAAAAAAAAATTAAAAAAAATTGAATTTTTGTAAAAAAAATTATTGTCAAAAATATCTAGTTAAAAATAGATAGATAATAATCGTTTTTCATGGTGTAACTTAAAAATGTAAAGTTATAGAATTAACTGCAATTATAGTTACGCTTACTTAACTTTGTGCATTTTAAATTACTAAAAATCAAGGTTTTATGTCTAATAGATAGAATTACCTTAATATCCAAAAAAATATAAAACATCCTAAAAAAAACCGTTCAGCACCACACGAGTTGATAAAAGTTCTGCGTGGTTTTATTTTCTGCTCGATAAAGAAAATTAACGTAAGAAGTGCAAAAAAGAGATAAAATCAAATGGTGGAGTACCAGTGTACTGAATACGCATCTAAAAACTAAACATGAAATTGACTTGCTGAATAGGAAATTGTCCCAAGATGCATCATCATCATCGGTTTTGTTTTTATTGGTACCGTTATCAACAGACGAAAAATCCAAACCTCTGATCAACTATTTTTTACAAAATCAATGCGACAATTCGTTGTTCTCAGTTTTTTCTAGATTGAACACCCTTTGTTGGAATCTTGTATTAGCAAGTTGTTGGTTCGTCGCCTGCTGAAAAATGCATTGATTTATTTCAAAAATAGTTGACATTTTATGTTGAATTGGAGCGTAGATTTTCAGCGAGTGGTAAAATTATCACAAAATTCGATCATCTATTGAGGATGATACTCTAAACCTCCTATGTTTTTTACGGGCTCATTTTACAAAGGAGAAAAAAGCAAAAAATGAAAAAGTTAGTTATTTTGATATAAAATAAATAATCTTATTGAATCAATGAAATTTTTACTATTAACTTGAGATTTTATTTATATTATGATAAATTAAAAAAGTTTAATACCAGTATAACACCGGTGTTACTGGTATTGAAATTATTTGGTGCCAAAAAAACGGTATGGAAAAATGGTATTGGTATTGGAAGCACTATTTGATAGTTTATTTGATATATATATATATATATATATATATATATATATATATATATATATATATATATATATATATATATATATATATATATATATATATATATATATATATATATATATATATATATATATATATATATATATATATATATATATATATATATATATATATATATATATATATATATATATATATATATATATATATATATATATATATATATATATATATATATATAAAGAAATATTTTGATTTATATTGATATCTCTGTTTATATATTTGGAATTTATTGAAAAAAATAAGATTCTGTTTTTAATGTAATCATTTTCTCCTTAATTCTCCTTACTTTTTCTTTCAAAAAATTGTCGTTCACGGCCAAATCTCCTTAAATATTAGGAAATTATCTCCTTATATATATATATATATATATATATATATATATATATATATATATATATATATATATATATATATATATATATATATATATATATATATATATATATATATATATATAAACTAAATATAATGTTCATTAATATTTTATATAAAGAATTATTAGCCGTAATTTTAAAAGCATTTCAATAATATAACAACATTAGTAAAGATCAAAGTTATGTAACTGTAATAACTTTAAAAAAAATTTATTATTTGTTTTCATTTTTTTTTATCTTTTAAAGTGTATTAACTTAAATGATTGTTATACAAAGTTCATCAAAGAGACCATCATTATCTAAAAATCAAAAATCATCATAAAAAAGTTGTTTTTGAAATGTTAATATTCATTATCTAATCTTCAGAACAAAATTTTACTTGTGTTGTCATATAATGGCGTGCAATCACATACCTTCCCGACCAAGCCTGCTATAGTAGTAGCATTTGTTTTTCCGCTCGGCAACCTTGTCTGATGAGGTTTGGGGTTGGAGTTATAAGTTAAGAGTTGTAATAATAATAAATTGTTCTCACCTACTACAGTCAAAAGTAAATGCTTTGCTTTTGGCGATAGGTGATTTTATTTAATACTTTCAATATATACACACACACATACACATATATATGTGCTCCTATCCTTTTAATACCACTCTTGTGGCAACATGGATAAAAATGAGGGTGGTAAAGAGGAAATAAGCTATTTTCCTAAATAGTTTATACTGTTTTTTTAGATGAAGTAAAACAACCTGTTCGTCCTGCTGACTCACGAGATGATTCCCAAAGGTTTGGCAAACGTGATGAATCTCGAGGTTATGATAGGAGAGATGATGCTAGAGGTTTTGATAAGAGAGATGACACTAGAGGTTTTGATAAGAGAGATGATCTTCGAAGTTATGAAAAAAGAGATGACCCTCGAGGTTATGACAGGCGTGATGATTCTCATGGTTATGACAAGCGAGATGACTCTCGAGGTTATGACAAGCGAGATGATCCTCGAGGTTTTGACAAACGAGATGATCCTCGAGGTTATGATAAGCGAGATGATTCTAGAAATTTTAACAGGAAAGATGATACGCTTGATCGACGGGATGGTCGTGATGATCATACTGAGCGACGTAGTGACGATAAAAGTGATTCTTATCGTGGATTTAGTGGTAATCGACAAACTTGGCGTGGCGAAGGTGGTGGTGATAGCTGGAGATCTGGTGATAAAGGAAACCGTCCAGAAGGTTAGTGTACCTTGGTTCATTTTTTTTTATGACACTTAATATATATTTTTTTATGTAAATCTAATTTTTATTTTGTCAGATTTAAAATACAGTAGTAAAGATTTATCAATATATTTTTTTGATTTAGATAAATGTATTTAACAATTTTTTTGATTTTCTTTTATATATCTGTTTATACTAGGTCGATCATACAAAATGTCTCGTGTGGGAGCTGATAGAGATCGTGATGATTCTGAAGATCGTCCAAAAGGATCTGGAACTTCTAGTGAAGATGGCTGGAATGTTGTTAGAAGATAAAAAAGAAATTTAAAATAAATATAGAATTGCATAATGTTCAGCCTTTTTAATATATACAGTTTTCCAACAGATTAACTTAAGTTTTTTTTTCTCCTCATTGATATTTTATTTGTTTTTAGATATAATATATATATATATATATATATATATATATATATATATATATATATATATATATATATATATATATATATATATATATATATATATATATATATATATATATATAATATGCCAGCAATATATATAATGTGTCAGCAATAATTTGCTGACCTCAATTTTTTTGAGGTCAGCAAAAAAATTTTGATACAAAAGTCTTACCATAAAACAAGGTCGGCAATTTTTCGCCAACCTCAAACACTTTTAAGTTGGAAGTTAGGTCGGCATTGCCAAATGCCAAACCTAATTTCGAGGGTTGTGTATATTAGGGATGTGATTTTTTGGTAACTCCAGTTTCCAACATAAAAAACAGATGAACTTTGGTTTGAAAGTAACTGAAAAATCATTGGTTTTATTTAATTTTTAAAAAAGGTCGCCCACCATGACCCTTGATTTACGCACTGGCCATATATCAGTGAATTTTTTTTCAAAAGAACCAGAATTTCATTAAGATTTCAGAAATAATAATGGTTTCAAATAAAAATAAATTTCTTAAATTTTATATACAAAAAACAACAATTTTTAACTAAAATTAATAAAAGTTATTTTTTATGACATTTTGTTTGCAATTATTTTTTGTTTCAGTAGAAAAGATTATGAATTTGGAAATCACTATAAAATTCTGATATATATATTTAATATATAGATATACAGATTATGAAAGCTATTGATTTAAAATAATTATTTACTAAAATAGTAAAAATACAAAAATTATTGCAATCATTACAATGTAATTATCTCAAAATCTGTTCAAGAAGTTATAGCGCTTGTCATATCAATGTGTTTGTGTTTTGTTAGCTTTTCTTATTATTATAAAATTTTTTTTTTTTTTACGACAAAATAAAGCTGAAACTACTTTTATTTTATTAAATAGCTTTTTGCTAAAAATTTGCATTTTTGTAGATCAGTATTATCATTTAAATTTAGTCACCGAAATTATCTAAGATTTAAAAAAGGTACTATTTCTTGGAGCATCTTTTTTTATACCTATATTTGGATTATTCTATAACTAATTTTTTTTTATTCCTGAATTCTTTTTAAATTATTAAATTTTTTCAAAGTGAAAAGTAAAAAATAGGCTGTGTAATTTAATTTGTATTACATTACTATTAACTGATTTTACTTATTGTTTTGCAAAGGTTTTTAGATACTATAGTAGTCATAAATCATTTTTAATGAATAGATATGATATAATAATTAAATATTAGTTATGCTCAGAAAACATTTTTGTTATGGATTTGCAGTGGTCCTGTATAGATATTTTGAGCGGTTTATTGGAGTTTTGCTCATGGGTTACTTAGTAGACCATTAGCGGCATCCACTATAGGTGGCCGCTAATGGTCATATAGTGTCTAGTTATTGGCTAGCCACTTGGCAGCTACCACTAGTGGTCTACTAAGTAACTAATGAATAAAACTACAGTGGAACACTCAAAATGCCTTTATAAGTTCACTGAAATTTTGCTATAAAATGTTTGCTGGGTGAATAATTGAATGGGTGAATAATTGAATTACTTGTATTTTTTTATATTATAGTTAATAAATTATTAATGAATATATATAACATAATTAATTAATAAATAAGTTGTTTAAAAGTGTTTAACTTTGGTTAGTATCTTGGTGTCTTTAATTTAGTTTTAATGTCTTTTAATGTAGTAAATCTTTTATTTAGTAAAGCTATAAATATATTTGTAAACTATTACCAAAAATATGGAAGAAAAGAACTCACATAAGGTTTATTTTTTGTTTTTATTTGTGTTAATGTTGTTTTTAGACATGAGTTTCATAATCTCATTGTCTTAAGGTTTCCATCAAGTTACGAGATCTGAATCCTTATTTGGTTTGTATGCTTTGTGCTGGATATTTTGTAGATGCCACAACTATTATAGAATGCTTGCATACATGTAAGTTAAATAACTATTATCAGTTTTCCTTCCATTACAAAATTAGGCCATCTTTTTAATATGTCTTTCTTTTTTTTACATTTTTTTTTAATATAGTGTAGATTAGGGTAGTATGAGTGAAAATTAGAATATATCAAAAATAATTATGCTGGATCCAAATTTTTAAGAATAAACAATTTTTAGGGATCTTTACTCATGATCGACTTTAATATTTGGGCACCCAAAATTTTTTTTAAAAACACAGGTTTTAAAAAAGTAGCAAAAGTCCTCATATTACCCAGACCACTTGGTAATATGAGCACCTTAAATTAGCTCAAAAAAATAACTTTAATTAAGTAAAAAAATTCCAACCTGACAATTAGAACAAATTTTTGTAATATAATGATTCGTTATTAACAAAACTTATCATTAAAAGATCAAATTTTAAGCCATTGTTTGTTGAAACAATACTACTATGTTTTCTGCAACAACAACAACAAAAATTTGTTCGTTATTTTTTCAATTTTATCAACTCAAACCTTTAAATGATAAAAATTCAAATTTTTAAATTACAGAAAAATATTTAGTATTGTTAAAATATAAATTTTTTTACTATGTTTTGCTTTTATTCAAAAAGCAATTAAAACCACTGCTATTTTAGGACTTAAAACTAGGTAATTTCAATGAAAAACACTGGGTAATTTGAGCATGCTCATATTACACAAAATTGGCATCTTTAAATAAAGTCAAAACTAAATGTTTCTATGCATTGTTTTTTAAACAAAAATGGATTGGATTTTTATCTAACATATTTTTCTTTATGAAAATTTTTTTTATTATTTTAGCACTAAAATTTCGCGCCACAGATTTATTTTTGTGTGATGATATTATTTTAACTACACAAAAAGTTTAAACAGCGTTTTAATTAGATGATAGCTGCTAATTACTGCATATAAATTTACACTGATTACACTGATTCCTGTTATCACCACATAAATTCTATTCAAAAAATGCAAAGCAACTTTAGCTTCACTGTTTACATCTAAGAAATCTTTAAGTATGCTCATATAACCAAGGTACTCATATTTTCCCTAATCTACCCTATAAGTTGTATTTCTTGTTTTTTGTTGTTTTTTTGTGACTTTGTGGTTTTATATTTTTCCTATCAAGTTTTCATAGATTATTGTAGGAAACTTTAATTTTTGTCCTTAAGGCTCAAATTAAGTGATCGTGAATTGTGATATCTCGAAATTATTTCTGGTCATCAAATTCTCAGTTTATTTAAAACCGTGAACACTGTTTTAATGAAACTGTCAATTTATCATATTGTAAAAATTAATAGGGGGGGGGGGGGGATGGAAAAGGAAAATTTACTACTTCTAAAATAATAACAGTTAAAACCTACATATTTTTAATTATTGTTTGTTTAAACAGTAGTTAAAAGGATTATGAATAATAATAATAAAAAAGTTATAGGAAAAAAAATATTTTCTGATGGTCCAAAAAAGATTATGTGGTAAGTTAAAAATTGACCAATAAAAAATTATACTAAATCTAACTGTGCATTGCATGAAACATTAAAATCGACTTTTGTTGCATTTTATGTTTGTAAATACTTTGTAAGAACTGCTTTCCACACTTGGTTAACATGATAGTAAACAGTATTGTCCAATGGTTAAAAAAAAAAGACATCAATGAGCTGGCAGACAAATGAAGGTAAGAGCTGCAATCTGAGAGCTTTGCATCTGCCAAGGCTGCTCTTGCTTTTTTTTCTACCATCAGTTCATAAATTTTTGCAATTTTAAAATGTTTTAACTTATCCATAATATCATATTTAGATATGAAAATAGCATTATAAAAAATTGTTCAAATCACACTAGCGTTGGCATTAAGCATTTTAAAAGGAAAAATGAAGTTAGCTGCATACAAAGAATGTCAACATCATCACATCACATCAACTATAACTCCATTCAAAGACTCTTAAACACGCACCCTCATTGTATCTGTTTGCCGCATTTTTTTTCTTTCATTTCACCTTAATGCAATGTTATCTTTTTTATTGTACAACATATCTTGTTAACATTTTGAATGTAATTAATGTTTTTAATGTTACACAAGAAAATCTTAAATTCATCCTAATTACTTATAAAAAATTTAAAATTTGAATTTCGCAGATTAAAGAAAAAAAAAAAGTTTTACAAATCTCTGTGAAAAATCTATATTTATAAAAAGTGGCGGGATAGCTCAGATGGTTAGAGCATCAAAGGAAAAGTTAAACCTGAGTTGTTGAACGATACGAGTTCAAATCCCACCACCGCCAACTCAGCGCTTGAGTAGTACTTCGGTACGCAAAAATGTTGGTCAATAACGGACGCTACTTTGGATTAGTCTTAATGACTAGTTGTGGCTGTTCCTATGCTAAGCCAACAATATCTTAGGATATAAGAACATTGTATAGAAAAATATAGCATGAAAACATATAGCATTTTTAAATGTTAAAAGTGTTATCTTCTTCTTTTTTTTCTTTTTTTTTTTTTTTTTTTTTTTTTTTTGTTACTCACCTTCCTAAGGCCAAGAAAATTTGCTATTGATTTGTGAAATAATTATTAATTTTTTCACAAATCAATAGCAAAAAACAGAAATTTAAGTGAATTTCCGAAATTCAGGAAATTCCTGGAAAAAACAGATCTATGTATTATATTGTAATACAATTATATTTAATCTGTTTGTTGTTGTTGTTTTTTAATTTATTAACTCAATTATGCTATTCATTAATAAAATAATTAACTATATTAGTTATTTTTTATATTATTTTCTTGTTGCCTTTTTATTAAATTAAAACAATTGTTTTAAATTAAGTTACAATTAAAATTAATATAATAGTATTATAAAATTAATATTAATATATTAATTTTATATTTTGTTACTGTTTAAACTAACCATTTCTCATCCAATCTATTTTAATCTGTTACATTTTCAAAAATCTAGAAATGACAACAGTCAATAGTAGTTAATAAGTCAACTAATTATTGTTAAATCTGGGATACAGCAAAGAAAATCATTTTTCTAAAGCACTGTAAAAAAAAGTTTATTTCGTTTTATTTTTAGTTTGCAAAAGTTGCATAGTTCGACATCTTCAATCCAGTAAACGATGTCCTACTTGTAATATTCAAATTCACGAGACTGAACCCATGTCTAAACTTATGTAAGTAATTTTTCTAGTGTTGTTATGGTTTTTAAATAATTTGACTGTCGACCAAAGTCAACTTAGAGTCAATTTATTTGAAATATGGGAATAATTAATTTTTTTGAAGTCAATTGTAATAAAAATAATAAAGTGATTTATATTTGCTTTCTATTTTTTAACATCATATCATTTAAATAATAATGGAACAAAACAATATAAGCGAAAGGCTTATATTGTTTTGTTCCATTGATTCCAATGATTTAGAGACTGCTTTGAATACTTGCTAAATATAAATACAAAAAGCCTATACAATCATATTTACAATGTGATTGTACAGAAGACATTTAGATTTTGAAGCTTCAAAACTTAATTTTGCCCCAGGTCTCCAAGCCAGCTTGGGAAAAATTAAAGAATTTAAAAATTTAAAAGTTAAATCAAAAAGATATAAGGATTTTAAGATTTTTACTCGACTAAATCGAATTTTAGTTGATTAATAGGAAGTCTATAGTCTATTATATCAACTATTATATTTTTTTAAGTCGACTAATTTCAACTTTCAACTAGTTGATTTAGTCGAAGTCGATAACAACATTACGTTTTTCTCAAACCGCAATCTTTATTAGTGCAAAACATGAATTTGTAGTTTTGTTGATAGGTTGTTCCATAAGTCAGCACTGAAATGAATATTATTGTTTTTTAGATAGAGGCTTATATTTTTCAATAAAATAGATAACGAATTATGTGCTTTTATTTGTAATTAATTGAGATCATAAAAAAATCAACTTCACGCTTGTTTTATATGCTTAAAAAAATACAAGTTGTTATCTTGCAAAACAGTTTGGTTCATTACAACTTCAAATAATTTTTTTTTTCTTTTTTTAAAAAAAAAGCCCACCAATGTCTTAATAAAGTAAATGGTAATAAAGTAAAACAAATAATAAAGTAAAAAATAGTTTAAGTTAATTAAAGTAATAGAAAAATTCTCTTTATTGTAGGCTTGACCGAACCATGCAAGATATCATTCAAAAGTTGATACCATGGGTTTTTATTGGTTAAATGTTTTTACTTAGAATAGAATAGACGTTGATATTTTTTACTTTACATTTGTTAATAAAAAAAATATATAAGCGGATCAATATTTTATATTAAATCGTTTTTTATGTGTATTAGATGAAAGTCGTCGTGCACAAGACTTTGAATGTAAATTAAACAAGCAAGTTGTGACAGGTGTTTCGAACGTTTTTAATTAAACATTTTCTACTTATTATTAAATTTTATTAATTGAAGCTAGTTTCTGATTGTTTTGGCGATTGTTTTTACTCTTAGATATACCTAAAAATGATTTTCAAAAACTTGAGTTGGTAGAACTAAAGAATAGTTATTTAAGCGATGAACAGATCAATTTGTGTTTATGTTTGGAAAGGTAAGTTATTTTCAATATTTTTAATTACAATTTTAATGTCTAGATTATTAGCTTTGTTTTTTATTTTAGATGTCCGGATTTTTTCGCTCAAATGAAATTGGAGGTGAATTTGACCATAGTTTGTCGAGAATTTTCAACATAATTATTTAAAGAAGATGAAAGACTAGAATGTTCTAAACTATACCTTTATCAATTTTTTAAATTGTTACCTTTCCTGAAGGAAATCGAACATAAATACGTGCGCTGTTCATTCCGATCGCATATACACCATATTCGCCATTTATTGAGTAAACTATACGACATTTCTCTCAAAGACTACAAGGTAATCTAGTGATGCGTTGTTTTTTTTCTTTGTTTTTTTTTTTTTTTTAATTTTTTTCGTAACATTCTTATAAATTTTTTTTTTTAATTTTTTTCGTAACATTCTTATAAATTTTTTTTTTAATTCTTTTCGTAACATTCTTATAAATTAGTTAAAATAAATTATAGATTCAAATCTCGTGTGATGGAAAAATATTATCTGATTTAAATAATCTGAAATTGATATATTTTGTACATTGGAAATGCAAGGTGAGAAAACTTGTTTGTGATTTTGTAATATCTTTTATGAAATTTTAAAAAGTTGTTAAAAAAAAAGAGCAATAATATTTATTTCAAAAGTTACTAAAAATGTTTCCTTATAGTTTTATAAAAATGATTGATAAGAATGGTGTCATACCTAAGTTTGATTGAATAGTGATAATATAGTTTTTTAAATAATATGAAAACGACAAAAATGTAGTAAAATATAATAATAAAAATGATAAATCTGATGTCAGTAAAACTAGTAGAGTATATGTGCACGTAAGACTAGTACAGGATGTGTATGTAACACTAATACAGTATATGTATATGTTCCAGTACTAGTAGTATATGATGAAAGTAAAGTTGTTAGAATATTTTTAACCTTTTTTTGCTTGTTCATAGAAGTAACTATCACAAACAAGCTATTAGAGCCTGGCAACAAAAATGTTTTTATAAAAGTATAAGATAATTTAACTATTTTATTTCTACATTTATATACACATTGGCAGACTTAAAATTTCATTTAATAATCTCTTAGTAAGATTAGGTCATCTTATATGAGGTTTTTTTTAAATACATTTTTGCATAATTATGTTTATTCTTTTCATTAAAAGTTAAGCTTTTTTTACTATTTGTTTTTGCTTAATTTCTTTTGATTGTTAACTGCTTCAAGAAAACTTGTTGATGCAGTTTCTTGAGTAAAAAGAAGCTTTTTTAATAATATGATCAGTTAATTTTATTATAATATAATTTCGACAAGTGTATTATTTTTTTGGATATATTTTAGTCTCAACCAATGGTCTTAACTTATACTATAGAAGAAAAAGAAGAAAACATCGTCGCTAATATTGTAGAAAGATTGCTTCAATACGTCATATGTAATAGATTCGAAATAATTTGTTAAGATAAAGTTATAACTGTTTTTACTGGCTTTGTTTTATTGTTATTTTGTTTTTACTGAATTGTTTTTTTTTTACTTTAATTTGTCTTTAACCTATAATAAACGTCTAATTTCTTTATACTTATATATTTTACACTTACACTTTTTATACTTATATTTTTTACAAATTTTATAAAGTCTTATTTACGTCAGTCCGTAATCGCTCAAATCATGACGTATATAATTAACGTAATCATATACTCAAGTGTACTTAAGCGACAAGCCTGTTTTACTAAAAAAAGTTGATAGTTTTGGTTAAATTTAATTGGTTGTCGCTTATAACTTATGTATACGAGGGTGTCTGAAGATTTTTTTTTTTTTTGAAAATCATGGAAAAGTTCAATCGTTATCATTATGTATTAGTAGCTTATAGTGAAAATTTCAGCTTTCTAAATTAACTCTAAGGTAAAGAAGGTGGTTTTAGATAATTTCTATATAATAGGATTTTTCCTGAATATTATATTTTAAACTTAATTTATACAGTTTTAAATTTAAAACACTCACAAAATACTGGTTTCGTTTTAAAATATATCTAATAGAATAAGGAATATACAGCTTTTGTGTGACAATTTTATTTCAGATAATAGTTCTCAATTGAGTCGAAAAGGAACAAAAACGTAATGACAGTTGTGACATTTGTTAAATGTTCTGCACGTACTTCTTTGTTACTTTTTTGTTACTAGAAAATAATAAAATTAAAAAGGCAGGCTGTTTTGTTAAATAGTTAAATAATCCAAGCAATAGAATTCCAAGTATTTGAAATTAATGGTTTAGTTTATTAAATAAAATGATAAGGAAATACTTTACAAAGTTTTGCAAACATTTCTGTATAGCATGTGCGTACATTGGGTGGAATAAGGGGTTGTTAGGTGCAATACACCAGTTCAAGGGAAGTTTTGCCATTATTAATATCGCTCAAAAACTAGAAAAACTGAAAAATAAAACGTTTTCAACACGAAGGGAAGATATTATCCGAGTGTGGATGCGAGTTACCATTCCGAATGTTTTGTTTCCCAAGTTTAAAGAGAATTAGCCAAAAAAGAAAACACTGGATTAGTCAGCTTAGACAAGAAGGAAAGAAGAAAGGAAGTGCATGGGAACCTGCTGATAGAGTATGCTCTGATCGTTTTTTTGATAAAATACCAACTGTTATGAACCCTAATCCAACAATAAATATGGGTTTTGATCAACCTGTACAAAAAAAAGCTAGAAGAACTTTATTAAAGCACCCAATCACTTCTTTACCTTGCTCTAATAAAATGCAGCCTGTAGAACCTTTGTTGACTGAAAAAAGTATTGTCACCAAGTGTTAGTTTTAATGCAGATGTTTTATCACCTATATTATCAGACCATACCTATTCAATGAGTTTACCACTACCTAATAAATGTACTTCATGTGAATACAAATCTTCACTAATCACCTCTAACGTAAGTAAAGTAAATAGCCTTACTAATCTATTAAAAAAGTTAAAAATGAAACAAACAGTCAAGTTTAAACAAAAATTCTCTTGGAGATTAGTTAACAATGATAAGAAAATGAACTTTTATACTGGTATATCTTCCATAGCTATTTTTAACGTTATTTTTGGTTTGTTAAAGCCATTTTTACCCTCTATTCGTTATTGGAGAGGCCCAAAACATTCACCTAGCAAAGTTAAGCAACTCAAATCTGTATCTAAATGTTAACTGTTATCACACAGAGAAGAATTTTTAATGACACTAATGCGGTTGCGCTTAAGTCTTTTAAATGAAGATATGGCTGATCGTTTTGGTATTTCAAAATCTTTGTGTTCTAATACTTTTACAACTTTTATTAGAATTATTGCTAATATTCTTGGACAAGCTATTATTGTTTGGCTGCCAATTGAAGTCACAAAAAAAAACTTGCCACAGTCTTTTGTGAAAGCAAAGCATCACAAGTGCACAGTGATTCTTGATTGTTTTGAAATATTTATTGAACGTCTAAAGTCCCTTTACAACCAAGCAGTGACTTGGCCTGATTATAAGCACCACAACATTGTGAAAGTATTAATTGGTATAGCACCAAATGGATACATAACGTTTCTTTTCAAATGTTACGGTGGCAGAGCATCAGATAAATTTATTACAAGTAACAGTGGTTTTTATGATCTGTTGGAAAGAGACGATGAGGTGATGGCAGACAGAGGATTTCAAATAAGAGAAGAGCTATTATTTCGTTATTGCAGCTTATCAGTCCCATCAGGTGCAAGAGTAAAAAGTCAAATGACTGCAAGTGAATGTAAGAAGACTACTGATGTTGCTAACTTAGGAATTCACATAGAAAGGGCCATAAACAGAATAAAAACCTTTCGAATCTTAAAAAATGTATTACCTATTTCAATGCTTCATCATATGGATGATATTATTTTATCGTGTGCAGCTTTGTGCAATTTAAAGCCTGCTTTAATAAAAAAAAACTGTTTAAATTTGTTTAAAATGTATATGTTTTTTAATTTAGTACTACTCTTAAATGCTTAATAAAAGGAAGGGTGTAAATTTTATTCCTGACCTAATAAATAAGGTAATCTTAACTTAAGGGTTGCCTTTTTTTTTTTTTTTTTTTTTTTTACAGAACATGCATAAATCAATTTAAGTTAGTGTGGATTGTGGTCAACTGTGCATCTTTTAACAACTGTTTTATAATTAAAATAGGATTTAATTTACTTGTATAAAGTGAGGAAAAGCTTATTTATTAAAACCAAAACCTTATTTTCAACAAAGATTAAAGAGATTTTTTTATTTTTTTAAGTTTTGAGATTAATAAATGGGAGGGGGGGGGTGGTCTTAATAAACTTTTGTGGGTGGGAAAAGTTTTGGAAAATTACTAAACTTCCTCCCCTTCTTGTATTAAGTAAAAATAGTACTGAGGTTGTATTTTTTAATTAATTACTGAGGTTGTATTTTCATTTTTTAATTACTTGTAAGGGATGCCGGACACCACCGTGCACTTTTAATGAACACATGTGTTTCATATTACTACTTCTTTTTACTATAATTCGAGGCGTGGATAAACTTTTTGGTTTTGAGTATATTCTTTACCTAAATAATGTTACACTATTATTTGGATCTTATTGTCTTCTTTTATAGGAAAAAAAAAATCTATAAATGACAATTTAAATATAAGAAGGGTTTTATAATTTAAAACAGATTTTCATTTTCATAATTTTATTCCAATCAGTTAATAGAAAAATCTACAAAGACAGTATTTAAGTAATGATCGTTGTAATACTTAAAAAAATCAACTTTCATACTCAACCAACCAGCTTCATCAAATGTAATTTTATCAATTATATAACCATGAGCTGTCCATACCATAAAACAACAATTAATCATCTTAGCAGTCCCCATTTGAACCTGGCATTGAGTATAGTATCTATGCTTTTTTTTAATGACAAATTTTTCATTTAATTTTTTTGTAATATAAGGAAGAGATATATTGGGATCTTGTGATGATGTATGGTGTATAGAAAATGGACATTTTGTTTCTAAACAAGCTGGCGGGCAACACGAATATCAGACAATTCTATCAGGGCTTCCACTTATACAGGGCATTTCTACATCTAAAAATAATCCACATTCATTTACAGTTAAATTTTGATGAAAGGATTTCATAACTTCGAAAAACTGGTTTGCTGCTTAACTTCCATCGCTCTCCCGTATTTCAATGCAGGTATATCTGGGTTCGCAAAATTTAACCCTGAAATACTTCGGTGTAATAACCACATGTCAACTTTAATGCCCATGTTAATGTTTTTAATTTTTTTTGGTACATCGTGAGCTTTTGAAGCAGTTATAACTCGCTTTCGAAAATTAAACCAAAGCTCATTTGTGTGTTTGACCCATAGTCATACGCTCTATATCAGTAATTATTTTTTGAGTCATATTTGTTTTTATATTTTCACTAAAAGAAAATTTATTGTCTGACATAACAATAATATCATCCATGGTCAAAATTGTAGGTTTGGTAACATTTTCAAACACAATTAATTCTTCCATATAATAAGTTTCAGGTTTAGGTACAGCAGAAGTTATAATGCTATGAGGAGCAACGGTTTCGATTGCTTTTGCTATGTCTGTTAAATTTAAAAGTTTTATATCACAGCTTACTAATGGGCTGTAATTACACTTTTCATTTCATACTAGTGAGCGCTTTTTTTCTTCCACGCTGACCAAATTCATCACGATCAAATTTTTGTTGGTGCTACTATGCCACGATTTGGAAGCCACTCTGAATTTGAACTAGTACAAGCTACATTTGTCAAACCATTTCTAACAGCAGTCTCTATTCGAAACAGGCTTGCAGCAACATGATTACATGTCTGCGATAGACCAGCTAGACAAGTACAATGTGCAGAAATTATTTTAGCAGTTTTTTTATTAATAATAATCCATAGCTTGTGAAAGGGATCATTAATTTTTTCAGATTTTCTACATTTTCCTTTTAAATAGCAATATTCACTCTCTATTCCAATTTGATGGTAAAATAAGGGTTCAAGCCAGCCACATTTAAAATAACTATAAGCTTTACACGTTTTGTAGTCACTTAAGGTGGTATACCCCCTTCAAAATTATCTTGGAAGTGAAATATTATAGTCAAAATAAAAATTAAGCCTATGAAAGATCTTATTAAACAAAATTGATTTATAAAATGACAGGTGGTTATGTTGTCATGACAACCACCTATAATGGCGGATATAAGAAAATATGCACATCGCACTGTCAAAAATATCTCAAAATCTAATAGAGTATTCAAAGTAAAACTTGGCCCAATTATTAAAAACAGTTTAATCTATGCAATCTGCCAAAAGTTTTTAAATCTAGTCAGATTTAGTTTCCATGTAGCACTACATGAATTATGAAGATTTTTAAATAAGCAATTTTTTAGTGCTGAAACAGCAATATCTCAAACTCTAAAATGTTTTATAAATAACTTTTGGCAGATTGCATACATCATATAAAAACACA